GGTCAAGGTCATTCATTTGAACAAACTTGGTAGCCCTTCATCCCTGCATGCTACAGGCCTAATATCAGTACCCTGGGCCTTTTGGTTATTGAGAAGAAGTTGTTTGAAGATTTTAACATATTTCAACCCCTGTGACCTTGAAAGTGGGTCAAGGTCATTTATTTGAACAAACTTGGTAGCCCTTCATTCCAGCATGCTACAGGCCCAATATCAGTACTCTGGGCCATTTGGTTATTAAGAAGAAGTTGTTTGAAGATTTTAAAGACATCTGACACCAGTGACCTTGAAAGTGGGTCAAGGTCATTCATTTGAACAAACTTGGTAGCCCTTCATCCCAGCATGCTACAAGCCCAATATCAGTACCCTTGGCCTTTTGGTTATTGAGAAGAAGTTGTTTGAAGATTTTAACATATTTGACCCCTGTGACCTTGAAAGTGGGTCAAGGTCATTTATTTGACCAAACTTGGTAGGCCTTGATCCCAGCATGCTACTGGCCAAATATCATCTACCTAGGCCTTTTGGTTATTGAGAAGAAGTTGTTTAAAGCAAAAAGTTGACGCCGGACAGACGGACGACGGACGGACGGACGGACAGACGACGGATGTCGCACCATAACATAAGCTCACTTGCCCTTCGGGCAGGTGAGCTAAAAATGTTGGGGATCAAAAATTAAGAGAAATCTACAAAGAATACATATATATCACTTGTATTAGTAGTTACTAATACAGCTAATTCTATTTCATGGCCCTATTTGGATAAATCAATCCTATCAGTGGTCTTCATTTGGAGTCCCCCTGTTGAGTAGATATTTTGCTGAAATAGCCCTTAGCCATTTCACCCCTATGTAACTTAAGTAGACTCTACCATGCATTAATATGGATGTGTCCATTACGGTCTACAGTGGTGAAAGGTTTAGTCAATTTACAAGGTTTGTCTACATTATTGCCATAACACAGTAGGAACATTAGAGTCTTCCCAGAGGATGGCTTTTATATTTATTGAACAAGCATACACAACAGACACTTAATTCTAAATGACAGCTGACTTGGTTGCGGTTGGTACTTGGAATGTATAACAGAGGTCATTGACTTTTCAATGCCTCTGGTTTACTAGTTTGAAGCTCTACAGAATAAGCGAAAGAAAACTTATCACAAGCCAGAGTCAGAAGTGAGCGGCTTGTATTTTACCAATGTGACACAGTCCCCCTTCCAAGAACGAACTTGTCCTGAGTTGTACAGGGGTCATAGTAGTGATTCATGGGAAAGTATCACTGAATAGTTTACACGAACAAAACCCTCATGCTTCATTAGGTAACTGGTTAGACACACAGGTCAGAAGCAATAATATGTCATTTTTATCCATATAGTAGAACAGCAGCCTGTCTTTACTCACAAAGAACTTTCCAATTGAGGTGTCTACAAAACAGACCCCATACGTACTGCAACCTTCCGTGTTCTCCTCCTGTCAACAACAAAAACATTACTTAATGCACAGAAAACATAGTCAAGTTTATTTACTGATACAGGTTCTTTGAGGATCGTCTACACCAGACTCATAATCATAACACTGAAATATCTAACAATACATGAATGTGACGTTACTTGGATCATTAACGTATTTCAGATCTATAATCTATAATCATAAAGATAAAAAACAAACCCTGGCCAACATAAAACTTACGAATATACCAAAATTAACGCCTCCCATACTATCTTAAATATCTGATAGACTTCCTGTTATATGAAGGCTGTAGGACTGGTAGGACTGGAGATAACATATTTCATCGATGAATTTTTGTATCAACTCAGTTATATTCATGAATTATTTTTTGTGTGACTTCATACATTAAAGACATAATCATATTAATATTGCAACACAGTTTCATAAATTACAGCTCTTATTTAACAATTAAATCAAAATATCTGTATAAATGTTCAAAGTGATAATAATTAGGGACTGTCTATTGTTCTATATACATATATTAAATACAAACTAAGTAAGGCCTTACCAGGTTTCATAATTGACCAACCTGTATAAAATTAATGATAAGCCTATATAAAGTGAAAGTATGCAATACTATTTATAGCGAAAAATGAAATACAAACCTTCTCTGCAATGGCGAGGAGGAAACTGTTCTGAGCCCCGCTACAGTCACCATCCATGAAGCTAAATGTCTGCGTTCCCTTGGATGTTACACGACAAACTTCACGCCTCACAACTTTGTCAAACTTGGTTGGCTGCTTTGATGCTAAAATAAACAAAGTGGTTATTGTTAATCTGTCATTACCAGGGTTTTTTTTAAATTATTATTTTGGATATCCAGTTATTTCCAGTAAGCTACTGTACGTCAGAAAGTTAAGTCATTATGAGTACTTAACATATCTAACTTTTTTTTGTTTTTGACAGAGTAGTCATTCGATACAGTACTTACAAGTTTTCAGGCGTTCACTCATCATGTCTGGTGTCTCGGTCTGCTCAATACGGACGACCTTGTAACCCTTCTGTATGAGTGTCTCCGCATACCTGTTATAGGCAATCTCTGGAAACCCAGAGTGGGCCTGTTCTCCCTATTGTTGACAAATATAAAGTAAAAATATGTTTACTTTTCATTAAATTAAACGTACATGTTGGGAGTGATTTCCTTTGTCCTAGAATCAAGAACAGAATCAAGCTCCTGCTCAAGTCTAGATGTCAGTCAAAGACCAAAAGATTCTAAGGGTTATTCCATAATTACTTGTATGGGGGAGGTGGGAGGCACCTGTATTCATACATAGTTAAAACCAGATCCGTCTATTATTCCTTATATTAAATCACTTTTAAGATTTTATGGGTGGTGGGGTCTCTGAAGAGAGTGCCTCCCATCCCTCTCCTACGGTTGATTCTGGATCATCCCTAAAGGTCAGCTTCCTTTATCGTGAAGTATGAGCACACACATTCTTGTAAAATACGTCAGAGATAAAAGGCTGATAAATGTTACATTGTACATCATTTAATACTGAAATTCCTCAAGACTGGCATCACTTGATTTGACCTAGATCTTTGACCTGTGACAATGGCAATGGAGTAAATGACATGACAGTGAACAGAAATATAAACTACTTTTTACGTATAAGATGTTTCAAGATATAAACTGTGATTTTATGGACCGACAGCTTTTGTAATTTGTTATTTTCCTTTGATTTTTTTTCTTCTTTAAAATTCGCAATTTCAATTCCATGCAATATCTAGATATCTAAAATGAATTATATTTGATAAATATGAATGTTTTAGTCAAGATGAAATTTTGATAAGGAGATGACCTTAAGAAGTTAAGAAGGTCATACAACTGTCTCTTTCAATATGAATATATAAGTATGAATGAGTGGTAAACCAGTGTTGCATGATGAACACAAACGTAGACACGGTAGTCTAGTGGTAGGACGCCAGGCTCGTGACCGAAGGGTTGCGGGTTCCAGTCACGGCACGGCACTGTGTTGTATCCTTGAGCAAGATACTTTACTCCACTTGTTCCCGTCTACTCAGCTGTAACTTAGTATGTGGTTTGGCAGTGCTAGAACTGTTGAATGCTAGCTGTGAGCGCCGAAATGGCAGCACTGCCAGTATGCTCCCCACAAGTTGAGAAAGATATTGGCTGGTTGCAAAGGCCCTATAACCACAGCTAATAATTTGTAAACCGCTTTGAGATGACCTACGAACTAGGTTGTGATAAAGTGGTATATAAGAACCTAGAATTATTATTATAGAGCCGACACATCAATAATTTCTCTGTTTATCCTTTGCACAATTTTGACTGGCATTGGTTCAAGACATCGAGCAAAGGTTCCCAGTACAAGGCTTTAGTAAAACTTATTTCATGTTTCCACAGGTTGCATTTACTTTGAAAAAAAAAATTGTTCAAGAGATTTTCTAGTACTTTTTTAAGATGTGAAGCACTTTCCAAGGACACACAATAATATTCAAGCCCAATGCAAGGTCCCTACGTTAATTCATGCATTTTCCATTGCCATGTCATGAACTGAAGTGCTGAACAAACCCTGCATGTGCCCCCTTATAGCACTCACCTTCATGAATATAATCCCAAGTTCATTCACCCCTGCAACAGCATCCATGTGAAACAGCTCATAAAATTTTCCCATCTGTGAACAATCAAATAACAAACAATATAAGTACAAGACCTTTTTACATACAATTTTGGTGGTTTTAGACAATCACATTTAACATTATGATATGTTATATTAGTTCCAAACTGATCTTTTAAACCTTATCTTATCTCAAGTTTCTCTGGGTATGTTCTATACAAAGGACTATGTATGGTTTGGGCCTTTTTTGGCCCCGAAATCCATCAAAATTGAAAATCTGCAATAGAACTTTCAAATAAATGTTTCTTTAATTCTGAATACTTCCCCATTACTATTATGTTAACATTAATTTGTGTTTTCAATTTTGGCTGCCATGGTAACCAGGTCATATTTGCATAAATTATTGAAATTTGATTATTCAGTCAATTTTGACAGGTTTTCACCTAGTATTTCTCTTAGCTACCATAGAGCGCACTCTTGAACAAACTTTATATTTCTCCTAAAGATGTATTACAGGTGCCTACACATTATCCTTTGATATCAAGTTTGTTCAAGCACGCACTCTATAGTTTCTAGGAGAAAAACTATGCAAAATATCCCAATATTCACTGAATATTCAAATTTTTCCAACTTATGCAAATTTGAACTTGTTACCATGGCAACAATAATTAAAAATATAAATAAATATTTTCATAATAATATTTAGGAAGTATTCAAAATTAAAGAAACAAGTCATTTCAAAGTTCATTTGAAGGTTTTGAATTTTGATGCATTTGGGGGCCAAAACAGGCCCAAACCATACATAATCCTTTTACAGTAATAAAAGCAAGTAACTGAATTTCTTATAAAACTCACGTTTCAACGTTTTTGCAAGACAACAGTTGAGTGTAAATTCAGGCATAAATCACAAATTCTGACCCCTTCATATTAAGAAGCCTCTAACAATTTGAGGGTTAAAAGCCATTTTAGGAGGTCATATACCCCCAGATTGAGGAGAACAGGTATTAATTGAAAACCTGGTTTTGTGCAGCTATGTATGTAGCCTTAAACCTTTCACCCCTATGTAACTTCAGTAGACTCGACCATGCATTGATATGGATGAGTCCATTGTAGTCTACAGTGGTGAAAGGGTTAACTAATAAACCAAGCATCAATAGTTCCTTTTATCTGGCAGACAAAACCTTTATTAAATCAGATTCACTCAAAGCCGGAGAACCTTTCCACAGCTCACCTTGAAGAAGAGGATTGTATCAAAGTACTTGGCCTTCAGTTCCCACCATTGCCTCATGCCCTGTAATAAAATCACAGAAATCAGTGGCGGATCCAGAGGGGTTTTTTGGGCTTCAGGAAACCCCCCACCCTGAGAATTTTCTTTAAAAATCATGTATTTTCACCATTTTCCTCAATTTTTCCCCACATGGAACCCCCCCCCGGAAATTTGGAAACCCCCCTAGATAGGTCTCTGGATCCGCCACTGGAAATAAGCACTAATTTACAATATCTAATATGATTTCATGCAGAGGATTTTTTTATTATCTTGCGAGTTAAAAGTTTTCTCAAATTGTTAATTCAGACATGAACTGAAACAGGTTTACTTGACAACAAAACCTGTAATAAATTTTAAAAAATCCTATGTCAAGTCTCCTGTACCTAACGCTTCATAACTAATTTTTTGTAGACATGTACCTACAAATTATTCTTTGGTCATTTTTTCTTCACAAAAATATTCATTTACAAATTTATCTTTATAATGCAAAGACATTCTGTCAATAAAATAAGTAGGAAACAAAAGTGAAAATACGAAAAACAGAGAGGTCAAGTCACAAAATAAAAGTACATTCCCACTGCCTGCAGGTGAGAACACCTCCATTTATACAAAAAGGCTCTTGTCCAAGGAGGCTTTACACTGAATTTGTTTAAAATCAGTTTAGCTATTCTTGAGTAATAGTCTTTAAAACAAAATGATTGAAAGACAAGGAATGCTGTGCTAATATACACCAGGGACATTTTATCTGTCGGATTATGTGTTATAAATATTCAAACTCACAGGTGTTGTAGTTTTCTTGAAACTGTCAGGAACATAGAGTGTTTTGGGGTCGTATTCCGGGTCAGTTCTGTTACGCATCTTTGCATCTCTGAAAAACAATAACTTCTGTACAAAATTGATGTTTATTATGACAGCAGACTGCTCAATAGTCTTCTGGTCATTAGAATTTTCACCCTGACAAACTGTCAAAAACTGTGGAAAGATGGTACAGCTCTATCTCTTTTTACAGGAAACAGAATTTATTTACCATTGTCACATATTCAACGACTGAAATGCATAGTTTTAACATTATGATCATACTTAACTAATTTATTTACCAACTGGTGTAACATAATTTTTGAAAATGATTACTATTTCTGTAATGTGACAAACGTCAATAAGAAACCGTTAAGAAGGTTATCTCAATGCCTGTAATTGACATCACCACCAGACTGGCCCTTTATGACTTTTGACAGTATAATGGAAAGACCTGAAGTGTTCCTTTGAGAAAACATAGCAACATTTGGGAGTTTAATTTAGAAACTCTAAAATGGAAATTATTATTTAGAAACTACACTCTATCCATATCAACCCTGAAATGGGAGTCTCGTAGGACATGCAAACATTCACATAACCTCTAAATTCTTAATTTCAACAAATGAAATCTAAAGCAACATTGAGCACTGAATTCCCACTAGTTATAAACACATCTCATATTGAGGTAGGTTGCTATAGAAACTAGTGCCAGTTTGTGATTGGTTGACCTACTTGATTTTGTGAGGTTGAAGGAAGTCCAGTTTAAGATGCGGGAAGTTGTCTTCCTGTTCTGAAGATGAAGCTTTTGATGTACTTGGACTCTAAACACAGAACAATTATATCTCATTAGTCTGGACACAATGATTTCTACGTACAGATGTCAATACTAACAATGTCATATCATTCCTCACTCATTGGCAATAAAATCAATCTGTTTACCGATTGAAGTTTTGAAAAGTTGTGACTGTCAAAAATATATTGTCTAAAGAAAAGTTCAAAACAAAACCAATTAAATCAAAATAATTGAAACTCTTCAGTTCTGAAATGCCATCACAATTGAAACAACATGTCAAAACTTGAGAGGTTTTCCTTTTTGAGTATAATACATCAGAGAGAAATGACTTGCTGATGTCAACAAGGACTAGATGTCTTAGAAGGAACAAATTAAAATGATTTACGAGCAGCGCCATTTATATAGAATGTACTAACATCAGCAGCTGTAAATGTAGCCAGCCTCGACTTGGTCTTGTCGCCAACAGTCGGTGTGAAGCTGGATGTTGGTTTGCTGCCACTGGAGAAGCTATTGAGGGACGGGGTGGTGGTGTCGGGACTGTCACTCTGCTTAGCCACGGTTTTGTTCGTAGATTTTGGTGGAGGTCGCTTTCTCTTCTGGGGCTGGTGATGATAAAATATGGGTTATCACATAAATGTTTACAAAACTTAAGTCACTGTGGACATGTTCTGATCTGTCAGTGCCTTGTAGCAATTCTTTTGAGAAAACCTTTTTCAGCTCCTCTTCAAAACATTTTAAGAATATAATGTCAATACGCTGTCTTATGAAACTTGAACTTCTATTTTCTTGTGTAAAAGATTACATGATCTTGCCCATAACCTCAGTACCCTATCATTTAGTCAGACATATTTACGTACGTTTCCATCAACTTGATGTTAAGACTAATGATTAATTGTGTTCTGAATGACTTAAAAATATCCAACGAACACACAGCAAGACTTCTGTCTCATTTCCTAGTTTAGGGCCCTATACATGGAATCTTATAATGGAAGTTTTAATGAGGAAACATTTACAGCTTTGATGGGAGACTCGGGTTCGGAGCCTGTTTCTATATCAGAGACATCATCCTCATCCACACCACTGCTATCCTCATCCTCACTGCTGCTGTTGCTGCTTGGCTCGTCAGAGTCTACCTTGAGTTTGAATTCGTCACCTTTGCAATTGGAAAACAAATCTATTCAAGACAAAAGTATATTGAGTTCAAAGCAGACAGCAGAGGTTTGCCAGGATTTTTTTTCCCCAATTTGCCTCTTTAAAATTCCAGTTTAAATCAATTCTTCATCACTGACTAAATACTAAGATAGTTCTAAAATGCAGTATATGTAGGAAGGATAAAATAACCATGTTGCCCTTATCATAAAGATACATTTAAATAAAAGTTCATCATTTTACTTTCTACTTTAATTTCATGTATTCTGAGATGTTATAACAATCATCTAAATCACAGCACAAATGACCATTTCAATGTGTCCCTGACATAACCATGTTTCTTCACCAATCACCTTTATTTGTCCTCACACTTACCAGACTCTTCCTCGCTGTCATGATTCTCTATGATCCGACGACGTTTGGGCTTTGGTGTCCGTGTAGAACGCCGCTTGTTAGAATCTTTCTTGGGTGTCTTTCTGGGAGACTTGGAAGGTTTCTTTCAAAGTGAAAATGTATTCTTTATACATTATAGCTCATTTTAACGTTTCGTAGATATGCATTGGGGTAAATAGTACTTTGGAAAATATGATTTTAAATTAAAAGTCATGCGAAACCTGATAAAAAGTGGAATGTACTAATAATAATAAAAAATAAAAAATAAATTGTTTACCTTCTTCTCCTTGTCCTCGGTTGTGCTGACATTTTCCTTACTGTTGTCCGTCTCCTCATCCATTTCATCATCAAATATGTCAGCTGTAAAATATTACATAAGTTAACAAAATACAATGTACTGTAGGTGAAGTAATACTGTATACGGGGAAACTTTCGCCTCAGTCAAATGTTTGCCCTACAATGGTAAAATCACTAAGTGATAGTTTCACCCTTCACATCTGGTTTTAAAACTCTGTTTGGTATGTTGTTCATTAATGTTTGCTTCAATGATAAATTTTCCCTCAATACGGAGGGTGAAAAGAAGTGGAAGTTAAAATGTGGCGAACATTTCCTGATGCATCGACCACGTTACCTCAAGTCGACAGAAAGTTTCCTTGTATGCAATAATAACAGGCCATGGGCTAGATATTACCAATGACTCAAACAAATTAAAGTATTAAAGCAGACTGGCTGTTGCGCCTAAATACACATTTAATACACATTTAGTCTCTATATAAGGACAGATACAAAAACAAGAGGCCCAAGGGCCTTAGCGGTCACCTGAGTTATATCATAGGTACTGGTAGCTTTATTTTATTGTTTAGATGTGATGTGGAAATCAGCATGTAAGCTAAGTGAAATACAATACTTGTCATGTCATCAAAGGATAAGAATTTTAAAATATTTGTAAATGTTCCCTTTGGGGCCCCGCTCTAACCCCTGGGGATGGGGCAGGAATTCCAAGTTTACAATGTGATACCGTCATCCACCAAAGATGATTCTGAAAATTGTCAAAATATACCCAAAAGTGTTGTTTCCCTATATAAACTATAGTAAACTTTACCCCCTCCCCAAGGGAGAACGGATAGCTCGGGGGTCCTGAAATTTACAATTTAAATAAAGCCCCTGATGATCTTTCCATCCATGCAGAGAAAATGACTGTAGTATAGGACTCTGAGTCAGGGGAAGAAGATTTTTGAAAAATTGGTTAAAATTCCCTTTGGGGCCCCGCCCTGGCCCCTAGGGTTGGGGTAGGAATCCCAATTTTACAATTTAAAACCATCTTCCTTCAAGATAATTCTCACCGAGTAAGAATAATTTCCAACACAAAATTGTCAAAATATACCCAAAAGTGTTGTTTCCCTATATAAACTATAGTAAACTTTACCCCCTCCCCAAGGGAGAACGGATAGCTCGGGGGTCCTGAAATTTAAAATTTGAATAAAGCCCCTGATGATCTTTCCATCCATGCAGAGAAAATGACTGTAATACCTCTGAGTCTGGGGAAGAAGATTTTTGAAATATTGGCTAATTTTCCCTTCTGGGCCTCGCCCTGGCCCCTAGGGTTTGGGTAGGGATCCCAATTTTACAATTTAAAACCATCTTCCTCCTCCAAGGATAATTCTCACCAAGTAAAAATAATTTCCGACAGAAAATTGGTAAAAATATACCCAAAAGTGTTGTTTCCCTATATAAACTATAGTAAACTGTACCCCCTCCCCAAGGGAGAAAGGATAGCTCGGGGGTCCTGAACTTTACAATTTAAATAAAGCCCCTTATGATATTTCCATCCATGCAGAGAAAATTACTGTAATACCTCTGAGTCTGGAGAAGAAGATTTTTGAAATATTGGTTAATTTTCCCTTTTGGGCCCCGCCCTGACCCCTAGGGTTGAGGTAGGAATCCCAATTTTACAATTTGGTAGCCTCATCTACCAAGGATGATTCTGACCAAGTTTGAAAAAATTCCATCCACTGGTTCTTGAGAAGAAGTTGATAAGGTAAAAAGTTTACGCACGACGGATGACGACGGACGGAAAGTGATTGGAATAGGTCACTTGAGCAAAGCTCAGGTGACCTAAAAATAGTCAGCTTTTGGTTTGTTTGGATTTCTTCTTGGGTTTTACCTCCTTAAGGCAGCCAGGGCCATCCATAGGAGGTTGTTTGTCTGCAATTTCCCTGCCTACTCACTGAGTAGGCATCGATCGATGGTGGAGCCACTCAAGGGAGTGTCATTTTACTGAAATGTCAGTATCTGGACATGGACAAGGTAGCATGACACATCACCCGGACACATTATACTGACAAGTCCTTATTGTCAACTATTCATGGCACCTTCATAAAATGTTTCTATAAATTTTCAGTGTTAAAGATGTGTCAAAGTGCTGTAGAGCATTCTTGACCCTTTCACCCCTATGTAACTTAAGTAGACTCTACCATGCATTGATCTGGATGAGGCCATTATGGTTTTATGAACGGGTTAACAGCTTAACAGATATTTCTATACTTGTAATTTTCAAAATTAGATACATTTTCTTATTGTAGCAAATTATCTCTTTCCTAAAGACAACCTCACTCATTATAAAGAATATAGAAATCTTACGATCCAAATCCATGCTCTCCTCTTCCTCCTCCTCATCGGACGGCTGCAACTCCACGACCAGTTTAAGTCGCTCCTCTAGGCTAAGTTTAATTGCTTTGTCTGCTTCACATGTTCCCTGCTTGACCTTTGGGTTATGGGAGAAGAACTGACCACCCATCTGATATTCCTTGTCATTTGACCCCTTATAGTGATGGACATTCCTAGAGAGAAGAAGGGATACAAGAAATTATTGAAAACAGATTACAAACATTTTGTTCACATACAAAAAAGTAGGCTAAACTACATTCAGGTTAATGACAGACCTGATAAACCTCTAAAACTAAAAAAAAAAATATGATGTACATATATATTCAGATATTGTATCGTCTATACCTCTACTTCTAAATCTGAGATTACAGTATTTTAATGCAACTTCATATTTGAACAATAATTACATGAATAACCAGTTTTACTATCACTTCATGTACAACATATCTAACTAGAATGAATTTACAAATAAATCAGATATATATAAGTTTTGATAGTGATGGACTGATGATTGATTATAATTGAAAATTAATTGATCTATATATATGCCCTTTCCAATTCCCGACTATAAATTCCATTCATTAATGAACTGAAATGGCAAATGTAAACAATGTACCTTATGCATCGAAAGTAATTAATTTTGTTAGTTTATATATTATGCTTTATGTCACTGTTGAAAAAGAACCCCTCAAAACAGTGTAAAAGTTGGCTTTAAAAGAAGTAGACCTAATGCACATGTATAAACACAACCAACCCTCTCTATTGATGTGATAATAGTGTGGCATCTTTATTTGGATATTTATAAAAACTATAAACCAATTAGCAATCGATAAACGAATACAAACCAATCATCAACTATGATTCTAGACAGATTGCCCATCACTTTGTTTAGATGACGATCTTACTTAGCCTTGATCCAAGCGCGGGAGACTGGGTCGTCAAAGAACTGGACATGGACCTGGGGATTCTTGCCTCCCTTGAAGTGGATGTTATCAGTAGGGTGGGTACACACCATGGACGGCCACCAAGGGTAACCCTCCAGTTTGGTCCATGTCAGATCACCGACAGCAAAGCCTGGAAATTTATACAATTAACTATCAATACTGGTATTCTCATTACAATTTAATACTGTCACAAAATCACATATTTATTAACTTCTTACAAATTCTGTCTTCTAGTGATAATGATTACCTAATGTTATTATATATTATCAAAATATTCCTTTATCATTTAAAACATTTTCTATACCCAAGACTAACACCAAGTCAAGTGCATTAGTTAATTTTCAATGCAGCCCTTCCGATACTTTTTGTATTGATATACTTAATCAGTCATTATCTGAGTTTCTGCATGTTAACAAGATTACCGATATGAGGCTCAATGGACCTGTATCAGTCAACTTGATATTAAGCAATCATCAAGGATCACCATGGCATGTTTTGCTTTTACGCTGTTTCACAATAAAATTTCTGAATCGCCATCGTAAAATTCAACCCCCACATTAAAAGTATGAAGCACCATATAGTAAACATTCTAAAAGCAATATTTTCATTTACACCTCAATAAACCTCCTAGAGAGACGCAATTGAAGTCAGTAAATTGGCTTCATTGGGTATGTTTGTCACAGGGCTTGTGCGAGACAGGTCAGTCCACGACCTTCTCAGACCAGAACAAATTTTGACATTTCATTGATGACGATGACACATTTCAGAAATTTTCAGCAGCGATATTTTTTTTTAATTCGGAGAAGAATCATAGAGCTGTACTTCATGTACTCTCCACATTCTTTCAAAAATATCCAAAAACTTGGATCATTATTTTATCCTGACTGGCAAACATGCAGTATTCACAAAAACAAGACAATTTTCATATCAATAGTCATGGTAGTTTTTGACATTGGTGCAGGGAACAATAATCATCGGAAAATTATACTCTGCAAGCTGACCTTTTTTGTCAAAGAAATAAACGATTATTTTTCAAGTGTGAAAAAAAAATTGACAGTTACTAATCATAAATTGAAAGCACTTAATCTGTGCTTTCATTTTCGAGAGAAAACTTGAAGTTCAAATCCAATATATCTATCATTTATTATTGTCATTTAATTTTTGTAAAAGGAAGTAGAGAAATACAAGGCCAGACCGAGATTTGAACCAAGGACCCTCTGAACTCTATGCCCTATATGGCTACCAACTGAGCTACCTGGTTGCCAATGAATGACCCAGTCTAGATCTATAGTTCTCTTCCTTTTTAAACAATGTTTGGTGGAATAGTTTTTCATGATTTCATGTTTTTTGAATGCCTTAGCTTTGTCCTGCCTAATGTTGAAACATTGCCAAAAACTGTTCAACTATAAGTTGTTGACGATGAAAGATAATTAACAATTTTAAATTCCAAAAGCAGTTGGTGTATTTATACATTATTGTATGCTGTCTTGCGAAAGCTTTAACCTGATAATACTTTACAGTACTATGAGTATCTCACTGAAATACCATATCGAAGGACACCGATTTGCACAGTTATGGGGGTAAACCAGTTGATTCAGGTGTTTAAATGTATAAAGATTAGGAACAGAAATAAAAATAAATAAAGGACAAGAAAAGATAAGATCGTAATTATCGCAAAATGCAATTATTGTGTTATATATCGTCTAGTCATATGTTATACATTTCAGCAAAAGTTTCTCCTTGTTAGCGTAGTCAGAAAGTTTCTGTAAGTAACACCAAATCTCCGTCCTGTCCTCTCTGGTATCCCCCAAGGCTCAGTCATGGGGCCCTGCCTTTTTCTATTCTATATAAATGATCTACCACATTATATCACAAGCCAAGTTAGACTTTTTGCAGACGACACTATTATCTATGTAACTGTTTCATCCTACTCTGATGCAGAAATATTACAAAAAGACTTAAATCTTCTGGAAAAGTGGGAACAAAATTGGTTAATGTCCTTCAACCCTGATAAATGTGAAATTCTACACAACTCTAAGAAAAGACTGACACACACATTTAATTACATTCTCCATGGACAAATTCTAAAGCAAGCAGATTCGGCTAAATACCTGGGCTTAACTATCAATAAAAACTTTTCATGGAACACGCCACATCAATAACATTACCAACAAGGCAAATTCATCCCCAAGATTCATTCGGAGAAATATTAAAACCACCAACGTAAAAACAAAAGAGTTGCTTATAAAACTTATGTCCGCCCACACATTGAATACTGTAGCCCCATCTGGGATCCATGACAGGCAAGTCTTACCCATAAGGTTGAAATGGTGCAGAGAATTAAGAACCGCCAGGTTCACCCTTGGGTGCTATATAACTACACCAGTAGTGTTACAGAAATGCTCCAAACCCTGAACTGGCAATCCCTTGATCAACGCCGTAAAATGACCTCCACCATATTACTATATAAAATCATAAACGGACTTGTGGCATATGATGGCAACCTCCAAATTCTCCAGCAAACCCGACAACACAAATTCCAGATTCCATACAGCTCCACAAATTATCATGCAAATTCATTCTTTCCTAGAGCAAAGCGTACCTGGATGTTGTTCCAGGTACGCATTGCTCTAGGAAAGAATGAATTTGCATGTTAATTTGTANGCATGATAATTTGTGGAGCTGTATGGAATCTGGAATTTGTGTTGTCAGGTTCGCTGGAGAATTTGGAGGTTGCCAACCTTCATCAGCGACAGTGCAGACCTCTCAACACTGAAGGCAAATCTCCTCTCTCACAAATTCTAAGCGTACATGTTGTTTTTATCGTATAGTTCTAAAAAAAAAACACTTGTTTTTAACCGATCTTTCTGACGCCTCTAAATAATGTTCAGTATATTACTATATATTGAACGTTTTAGAGTATCCTGTTGAAGATATCTCTGGTATTTGATAAAAAAATACTCTACACATTTAAGATCTCACTACTTGTTGTCTTGAAAATCCTGAGCCGATCGTATTCTGACCATGATATTTAACGGATCACTACACAATACACTCTAAATTATGTCATCACCAGAAAATACCATGCCTGTTTGTTTACTTGTCGGGGTAGCAGACCCTGGGCTCGAGCTCTTCTGGTTGGGTGATCGCTTGGGTGACAAGATGTCCTTGTCGTCAGTTTTGGGCGTGGAAGATTGCTTTACAACCGGACTTTTGTTAAAATAAGAAAATAAAGTATTTGATTTCTTGGCAGGTGTTTGTTTCGGACCCATCGTGGTGGTGTTGACAGTTTAACTCCCAACTCCCGCGCTTTCAGCACCTACTTCCGGTTTTCAACTTCCGTTCGTAGTGATTAAGGATCCATGTTCACCTACAAAAAAAAGCATGATGGATTATTTCTGAAAGATCATCAATGAAAGAATATCGTTTCATGTTAAAAACTATGTTAGCTAGTTAAAACCATTGAGAAAAAATAACCACCTCGTTGACGAAAAATACGTTAATCTAAAAAAATCTAAAAGAATATTATAGCATAACTTGAAAATGAAAGATATTTTCAAAAACAAAGAACAAAAAAAGTATATTTAAACTTACACAAACAAAAGAAAGAAATTACTTTTTTGCCAAAACTTACCCTACGATTTTGTTCAAATCACAAATACAGCTAACTGTCATACAAATATTAGTTACAAAAACAACATTACAAATCAGTGATTTGACGAAATATTAAAAAGAAAAGGAAAATGAACTGAAAAACGAAGGGAGAAACAAACAATAGGAAGAGACTAGAGATTTACCAATAACTTAAATCCATCGTAGCATCATCATAAAATATTAAAAAACAAATGTATGTGTAGAAGCAGAACTGGACTTTGTCGTAGAGGTCCAAACCGCAATCGGGAACCGTCGGCACTTTACGGAAAGTGCCGACGTTCCCGATTGGTCCAAACCCTGGTCTGGCCGTGCGTTTTCCCATCTCCTGTTATATACGTAGGCTAACACCCAAAATCAACACACCAGATATGTGAAAAAACTTCAGGGAGCACTTTAAATCGAAACACCAATATTCTAGAGGCACAACGCCATTAAACAAGGGATACGGCAGCTGAGCAACTACCCAAGCAGTATAAGATATATTAGCAAAACCTAGAAACAGTAACGTATTGTCAATTACAGCACGAATATGTAACAACTAAAAGTAATCAAGATTAATCTGTATGGGGTTGAAAAGCTACTGACAAATACAAGCCTCTCTCTGAAGTGTCAGGACTAAAAAATATACAAAACCTGATCGTGAAAAAATGCGAAATACACCCGGTACTTAAAAGTATACTACAACAATCTCTGTACATTAGAGAATTACGAAAATACTTAAGGGATGCCAACCTCTTGAGAATCTTTAAAAGGATGACAGAAAAGACTTGTCTCTATGGTTACCAGTCGCTCGCGACATTTTAGAACACACCATTTACAGACAGATACTACCTTCCATTGATATCAATCATTTGAAACGTGGATATTTTTTTTCATCTACTACCAGAACACGACAGAGTACACCCAGAGGACATAGCCATCTAGCACTGCTCAAGTAATCAACACCACACAACATGGCAAATTGTTGCACAAATTACATCGATGTAGAATACAAGTAGGATCCACTGGTTTGCAAAACGTCTAACCACCAGGACTATCAGAACGATGATTTATTTGAAATAAAACGCATAAAACAAATACAACTGCCAACTTTATTACAGAAAGAGAAAAGGGAGGTATATACATTATATTTGTTATGTACCTCGGGTCTCCTACTGCCGGTTGTGCCCGACAGTAGAGAAACGTCTCTGCTTCCGTTAGGTACAGTACTTTGTTTCCTTGTCAGGCTTAGCCGGAGTCTGAGATTATCCGAGGGGTCCCTATGGTGTATGCGGATGTCTATTTAAGAAAAGAAAAGAAAAATGTATAAAGTATATCTACTACGTATATATACATGTACTAGGACTGGGTTTGTGAATAGAGCTTCATAGAGTTATCTCCCCTACTATGCTGAGCTCCATACAAAGTGATCATTTGCAATTTGCTTTGACCGATCCCGGGGAAGAGGGTCCAGGCCGGTATTTATGAAACCGTTCTCATGCTCAAGCATAGATCTGTGCTCAAACCAACTTCTTATGACTCGCTTAATTCATGTTAAATGATCAGAAAGTAAAATGTAAACATTGAAAACAGTATTTTGCTTTAAGTCTCTCCAAAATTATTGACAAAATAAGATTTCTTCATTAATTTATAACCAGAACAAGAAATTAAGCTTGAGCACAAAATCCATGCTTAAGCATAAGAACGGTTTCATGAATACGGGCCCTGGACGTCAACATCGGTGGTGTAATACATTCTTCGATGTCATTTATGGTAACGTAAATGACGTCGACATGCGCATTTCGGTATATGACAACCAACATTAGTCCTGCTGGTTTTCAAAATGAGAGGACATGTTCTGTATCGATTCTACTCACCATTCCAAAGTGGATGTATGTGAAATAATTCTTAATTAAAAAATAAACACAGTAGGATTGATGACTCACCATATTAATTTGGTATTTAAAACACATTTCTCTAATTAAGTTAAGTTAAAATATTGATGATTGGGACTAGTGACATGCATTTTCGTTCTAATTACGGTTTCTAAGATGTCGCGAAATGATCAAGGAGAATTTGCACAATTTTATTAAACTAGCTGTTTATTCGAAGATTACAACCATTTTATTTACATCATTGATGTTGAAATTCTCAGAAAAAACGTCATAGTCCCGAAGGTAAAACGTCATACTCTCGAAGGTAAAACATCATATTCCCGAAGGTAAAACTGCATAGTTCCGTAGATAAAACGTTATATTCCCGAAGACGAAGATTAAACATCATAATCCCAAAATTAAAACATCAAAGTTCCGAACATAAAACGTCATTGTCGCGAAGATAAAACGCCATAGTCCAAACCAAAACAAAATCCAAGAAACGCAATTGCCCCATAGATAAAACATAGTAATCCCGACGATAAAACGTCATATTACCGACGTTAAAACGTCATAGTCCCGATCATAGTCCAGACGGTAAAACGTCATAGTCTCTACGATAAAACGTCATAGTCCCGACGATAAAACGTCATATTCCCGATGATAAAACGTCAGTGTCCCGGAATTTCCCCCAGATTAATGAGATTCCATTGTACATCTTTTTTTTGTCTTTGACATTTTTTTATTGCGTCAGTCACATAAGTGCATTACATGTTTATAACGGTTCCTGGAGAAGAAATACAATATAAACGAGTAGTTAAGTACTAGTAGTTCATTCTAGAATAAGCTTGATACTTTCCCATTTTTGCCGGGTCTTGTTCGCTGCACTTTGAGACATCATGTAATCAGAATATAGGTCTAAATTTCTATATTTTTTTATAAATATTTTACAACTTTCCCAGTCAGGGATTTTGTGGTATTGTCGCATTAAAGATATATATTTTTTAATCAGTAGTATGCATATGTTTAAACCCGTCAGTTGAACATTGTCAATGATGCCAAATAGGAAAGTAGCAGGTTTTTTCTCTAAAACAATATCATATTTTTGTAAAACCGTGTTAATAAAACATGTCCAGAGCGATTGACTANCCTGTATACAACAAAGGGAACTATGTTTAATGAAATACACCAGGAAACGTTTTTTAATGATAATAATCCATTCATAAATAAACTCACTGATGAGCAACGCGACTCTATGAACGGTGTACTTAAGGTTGAGGAGTGTCTAAAAACATTGAAAAATATGAATAATGGGAAGTCTCCAGGTTTAGATGGATTCACCGTAGAATTTTATAAGTTTTTCTGGATAGACATAAAACAATACATTTTAAAATCTCTTAATCAAGCATTTAGTAAGACGGCAATGTCAATCAGTCAACGCCAGGGACTAATCAAATGTATTCCAAAACAAGGAAAATCAAAACTGTACATAAAAAATTGGAGGCCTATTACGTTATTGAATGTGGATTACAAAATTGCAGCATCCTGTATTGCCAATAGAATTAAACAGACTCTGGTAGATATTATAAGTCAAAGTCAAGCGGGTTTTGTCAAGGGTCGTTATATAGGGGAATGTACCAGGGTTATAAATGATGTAATTGAAAAATCAGAAGAAAATTATCAGTCTGGCATATTGCTAATGTTGGATTTTGAAAAGGCCTTCGATTCCATTGAGTGGTCATTCATAGAAAAAAGTTTGCGTTTCTTTGGCTTTAGTGATTACATTATAAATTGTTTTAAAACATTCTATTCTAATATCACAACTTCTGTTGAAAATAATGGTCACCTCTCCACCTTTTTTTCCAAGTAACACGAGGAGTACGACAAGGAGATCCTCTGTCTCCATATCTTTTCATTATCTGTATTGAATTGCTAAGTGCAGCTGTAAAATATGATCCTGATGTCAAGGGCGTAATCCTCAATAATTCTGAATACCTGATAAGTCAGTATGCAGATGATTCAACATTGATACTCGAGGATGACCAAAGGTCTCTAGTTAAAGCGTTATATTTGATCGACATCTTTGGAGAATGTTCTGGTCTAAAAACCAATTTTGATAAATCCCAGGCTGTATGGATTGGGGTAAACGGGGCTCTGGTGAGGAAATCGAAACAGAACAAAATTTATCCAGGAATCACCAAGGAAAATTCAAACTATTGGGAGTGAGATATGATTTATCCAAACACGATATTTATGAAGATAATTTTACGGAAAAAATAAAGTCAGTGGAATCACTTTTGTCTGATTGGTCATTTAGAAATCTCTCTATTATTGGAAGAGTAACTGTTGTCAAAACTTTAGCTTTTCCAATCATTGTACAGATACTAACTGTCATTCCTAGTCCACCTGCTAAAATCCTTAAAAAGTTTCAAGTCCTGTCCTTTTATTTTATATGGAATAGTAAAATCGATAACCTTAAACGGAATCTCCTAATAGGTGATTTTAAAGATGGAGGTTTAAAGGTTCCAGATATTTTTTCTTATAGTAAAAATGTCTGGATCCAAACAAACATGCAGATTGGAAAAAGTTACTAATTGACAATATTGAAAATGTTGGAGGAGATAAAATCTGGAGCTTAACAAAACGTTGACTAGAAGAAATAGCTAAAAGATACAATTTTGGTAAATTTTGGAAAGAAATTTTATCAGTTTGGGGAAATCTGTACGAGCCTCTCCCGGCAGCCCCTGAAAACGCACTCTCTCAGCCTCTATGGTTTAATTCCATTGTACATTTATCAGAACGTT